TTTTTTTTTTTTTGAGACAGGGTCTTGCTGTGTGGTTCAGAAATTTTCTATTAAAAACAGCTCCCAGCCCCAGATTCTAAGCGAGGGGCAGGAGAAGCGCGTTGTACATATATACATTTGCTTTTTCCCACATTTTTTAAATTAGTGGACGCACATGGATTGGTTGTGGGCTCTGGCGCCACTTGGCGGCCATCGCGGGATCGACTTTCCCCAAGTTTCCCCGGGGGCTGCCTTGGCACCCATTTTGCAAAAGCGGGTGAAGCCGATAGGACGCCCCACGTGGCGTCAGATTCTGACCCATGTGGGGTCTCCCAGATCCTAGAAGCTCCCTGGGGCCCAGTCCCACCACATCCTCCCAGGGCCTCCCTTGACTCTCAGGCCACGTGAGTTTACAGGCATATGACCGATTTGGACTCTGGGATAATGGGGTTGGGTTCTCTGTGATTGCTAGGGAATCTCAGGAGGTGGCACCAGGCCCAGCAGGCATGCAGACCATACATGCAATGTTTTGTTTTTTTTTTTTTTTTTTTTTTTTTTTGAGGCAGAGTCTCACTATGTAGTCCAGGCTGGCCTCGGCCTCGATTCTTCCTGCCTCAGCCTCCCTAGTGCTAGGATTACAGGCATGTGCCATCACACCTGGCTCCCTTAGATTTTGTTTTGTTTTGTTTTTGAGACAGGGCCTCATATGTAATTGAGACTGACCTGGAACTCTGTATGTAGCCCAGGCTGGTCTTGAACTCAGTGATCCTCCTGCCTCAGCCTCCTGAATGCTGGGATTACAGGTGTGTGCCACCACGCCCGGCTCCCTTAGACTTTTTTTGTTTTGTTTTGTTTTGGTACCAGGGATTGAACTCAGGACCTTGTGCTTGCAAGGCAGGTGGCAGAACCACTGAGCTACCCCCCTCCCCCAGCCCATCCTTAGAGTTTTGAAGGATTGCTACCTTCTAGTGCTGTTGATAAGTCTGAGGCCATTCTGATCCTTGGTCTTTCCTGTTTAGCTTGTTTTTGCTTCTTTTTGGCAGCTTTTAGATCCTTTACCCTTAAATCTTTTTTTTTTTTCTTTTCTTTTTTCTTTCTTTCTTTTTTTTTTTTTTTCTGGTACTGGGAATTGAACTCAGGACCCTGCACTTGTGTGGCAGGCATGGCACTGCTCAGCCAAATCTTTGGCCCTACCCTGTAATCTAGAAAATTTGTGAAAAATGTGCTTTGGAGGGGGTCTGATTTCACACTGCACAGACAACTTTGGGGAGCTTTCCAAGTTGTATTTCCTGGCCTTCGACTGGGAATTTATTTATTTATTTATTCTATTTACATTCTGTCTCTCTTTTTTTTTTTAAACTGGGAATTTAGGAAAGAAAATAAAAGTAGAAGATGAATCCACGAGTCCCAAATTGGAATTTTGGGATGAGAGAACAATGACTAAAAATTAAAAAAAGAAGTTATTTGTAAAAATTCATAAACTTTCCCAGAACGGAACACTTTAACTCTGCAGATGGAAAAGCCCAAGATGGTCCTCAGCACGATGAATGGAAAAAGATTCCAAGGGGACTCCTGGGGGTGGCATTTCTCAGCTCATTTGAAGCTGCATTTCAAGTCACAGTGATGTCCTCAAGTCTCCACAGAGTCTGGGCATCAGGTGCTGAGGTTGAGACGCAGGTGGTGATGTGTCTGTCTGTGCAGGACAGGTCATCCAGGATGGCTCCAGGGGAGGGAAGGCCCATGGGTGGGCTGGATGCCGTGGCAGGAAGGGAGCAATGACCCTGAGGTGAGTCCTGATGGTGCCCCGGGCAGGGACATGGGCGGCCCAGCTCTCAAGCTGGCCTGGATCCAGCTGGAGCCTTGTGCCTTATCTAGGTTCCCATGGAGAAACAGTGCCCTTCCCGTGCCAACCTGTGCCAGGCCACACACAGGGCCCTGGGGACAGAGGCACCAGGAGACCTTGATAAGCAGGGAAAGGGGTGGATGCACCCTGAGTCCTGCTTCCTGGAGTGGAGGGCGGTGGGTCTGACACATAAGAGACTCGAGGGCGTCCTCTAAGGCCTGCTGCTGGCCCCGTGTGGTGGGCATCCCGGTGCCAGGGACCCCGTCCTTCCTGGGCTCTGTGATGGCATCTCTCAGAGCCACCATATGCCCGGGAAAGCAAGTCTTCCCACCGCACTCCTCCTCCAGACGCTATTCTTGGTCATCTGTGTTTCTGGGTAAATTTTGGAATCAGTTTGTCCATTCCACGCACTCATTAATAAAACTTGTGGGGACTTTGAATAGCATGGCACTGAATCTACAAATGACATTCGGGCAAACAGAGTTCCTCATGCTATTGATTCTTCTAGTCCATACACACGATCTATCTCTTGATTGATTAATTGATTCATTGGCACTGGGAATTGAACCCAGGTTGTTGGGACTGAGCTACATCCCCTGCCCTTTAAACATGTTTTTAAAATTTTGAGACAAGGTCTACATAAGTTGCTCAGGCTGGACTTGAACTTTCAATCCTCCTGCCTCAGTGCTGGATGACAGGCATGTGCCTCCCACCTTAGCAGCTGGGCTGGAAATAGTAGTGGCAGACAGACAGACAGATCAGCTTGCAGGCAGGTGACAGAAATGGGCGATACCCTGAGGAGCACAGCACATCTCGCCTACCACCCATGGGCTTACACAGCAGCGATTCACTGTCCCCTGGTCCTGGGGGGCAGGCGTCTGAGGCTCGGGTGCAGACAGCACCACGCACCCTCTGTGGGTGCAAGAAGGGCACTGTCCCTGGCCGCTAAGGCTTCTAGGTCCTCCGCATCGTGACTCCAGTGTTCCTGTAGTGTCCCCAAGGGTCTCCTGTTGCCACACCCAAGTCCTATAGGGCATAAATCACCTGCAAAACCTTGTTTCCGAAGGTCACAATCACAGCTCTGAGGGTCAGGCCCTTGGCATCTCTGGGGGGACTCTCATTAGCCCAACAGGCTCAGTGGCTTAGCAAGACCCTGCCTCAAAATTTAAAAATTTAAAAAAGGGCTGGGGACGTAGCTCAGTGTGAATGAAGGCCATTGGTTCAATCCTCATACTGAAAAATTACATTAAATTTAAATTTTTAAAGAAATGCAGATCTCAAGTCAAACTGTACAAACAGCATGCCTCCCCTGCCCCACAGCCAGATACCCTGCGCTGGCTCCAGGCTGAGTGGCTGCATGCAGAAGTCCTTCCAGATGGAACTGTCTCATGGATTTATTTTCAGAGGCCACCTGTCCTAAGCCAGGCATAGTGGTACACATCTGTAATCTCAGCATTGGGAGGCTGAGGCAGGAGGGTTGCTATAATTTCAAGGTTGGCCTGGGCTATATGATGAAACCTTGTCTCAAAAAAACTGAAATACACACACACACACACACACACACACACACACACAGCCAAAGGGACACAACCTATCACTCCAGACCCACCTGTCCTTTTTGATCATCAGTCCCCAGAGCAGGCCGAAGTGAGAGCGAGATTTTGGTTGTCACAGCATTTGGTGAGAGGGGACGGGGGTGCCGAGTGCCCTGTAATGCCCGGGGCCCAAGCACACCATGTGGGGAGCACAGACCAGGACCCCTGTCCTGCCTGGGCTCTATGACACTGTCTTCTCTGAGGAAGGACGAGCCATTCTTGTACCCCCCAGTCCTTGCCAATTTTGTGTCATTTGCATCTGCAGCGTTTTAGGTTATTTAACTTGTAAATTTCCCTCAATAATCCCAGCTCTATCTTTTCCAGAGCCCTGATTACAGCATTTAAATTTTTTAGTATTCTGTGCACTGTGGAACTTAGAATTCTGTGCAGACACAACCTTCATCAGGGCAGCCAGGAAGCAGCAAGGCTGCGCCCGCCCGCCCAGTCTGCGTCTGCGGCCCGTGTGTGGTGGCCCAGGGCCCTGCTAGGTGGAGCCCAGAGAGGAAGTGGTGCAGGCGGGTGGCTGGGGCCAAGCACTGCCCAGGAGCTCTCAGCTCCTCCCTGCCAGGCACAACCCTCCCAGGATGCCGCCCTCCTCTTCCTCATCCGCGGAAGACACTGCACTTGCGCACGATTGATTCCCAGCTCCAATCCCTGGGGACTGGGGCTCCCCATCCCCTACCCAGTGCCTTGCCAGCCTTGCCTGTGCCGCTGTCTCCACCACCCTGCAGGGTTAGATCCAAAGTCCCCCAAAGGTCCCCCCAACCATGCGTGTGGAGGGCGATTAGATCATGGATTCGCCCATCGATGAGTTCTGAGCTGAATGAGTTTACTAGGGCCTGTTGGAGGTGGTCACTGTGGAGTGACGCGGAAGGGTGTGCTGGTGTTCCAGCTCCTCCCTTCTCTCTCTGCTTTCTGTCCACCGCACCGTGAGCAGCTGTCCTCTACCAGGCCCTTCTGCTGTGCGGTTTGTACCTTAGAGCTGTCCAACCGTGGACTGAGCCCTCTGAAACCGTGGACCACACAGACCTCTTCTCCTTTAATTTGGGGGTGTCAGCTACCTCAGTGACAGGAAAGCTGACTGATGACAGTGACCCTTCGTCCCCCCCCCGGTCCATGGCTGCAGACTTCCTGGGCTGTATGGCGCATCTCCTCTAGGTCTTAGGATGGGCACTGTGTCCTGCCGTGGATGCTCTCGGGGTGACTTCACATGGTTGGCAGCTGCCGATGCCCACACGGCCAGCTCAGCCCCTTCTGTTCCTGTTGCTGCCAAACAACCCACCTCAGAGAGTCAAAAGGGGCGGGAAGTCTCTGCTCCAAGGTGCGTGGGGCTCCAGCCAGGAAGGCCAGACGCAGGGCGGGGGCTGACGCTTATCCTCTCACGTAAGGCCTGGAAGTGGGGACCGGCCAGTGCCCCAGCGCCTTCTTTGTGCAGCCCCGCATCGGGGCCTGAGCTTTCTCATGCATGCTGGCTGAGGTACCAGAGGCAGCACCGCGCAAGCCCAGAGTGTTTCTATGCTGCCACACGTGTCGCCCTCACCACACAGCTGGAACACGACACAGCTGCATGATAGGGCCCTGACTTCTGCCGCTGCCACCGCTGGGCGGCGCGACACCGGGAGCCTTTGACAGCTCCTGTGTGCAGCCCAGGGGATGCCGCAGGGAGGGGGCACAGCTGACACTTCTGCTCCTGGGGGGGAGGTGACAGATGGCTTCCCCACCTCAGGGCAGTCTGGTCCACAAGACAGAGGACCAAGGTCCAGGACCAGGGAGACCTGGCTCCTGCCCTGTGGTGGCAGGTGATGCTGGGGACTCCACTGTACCCGGCCAGCCTTGGACACGGTTAGATGGAGTTAGCATTTTTCCTTCTTTCAATACTGAGGTTTACTTTGGCTCCATGTTCCATTCCAAGGTCAGGGGACACATCTGGCTATGGTCTATTTTTTTCCTTTTTTTTTCGAGACAGGATCTCACTGTGTAGTGCAGGCTGGCCCAGAATTCACTACGTAGCCCAGGCTGGCCTCAAATTCACAGCGGTCCTCCTGCTTTGGACTCCCAAGTGCTGGGATTACAGGGGTGCCACACCTGGGTCAAAGATTTCAATAAAACAAGTGCCATAGACTGTAGATCTTGGACGTATCTAAAGAATATCTTCCTGAGTTATCTTTAAATTCAAATTAATATGAATGGAACTTGAACGAAAAGCCACAGAGATGAGATAAAGTCAATATAAATTATTCTGACATGGAGAAGCAAACGGTAACAAAAACCTTTCTGCTCACACAAGAAGTGGTAGTGGATTCACAGGAAATGATAAATTTTGAACAAAAGCTATGAATATTCTGGGCACGGTGGATGACACATGCCTGTAATCTGAGCGCTTGGGAGGCTGAGGCAGGAGAACTGCCATGAGTTTGAGGCCAATCTGGACTACATAGTGAGTTCAAGGCCAGCCTGCACTATATACTAAGAACCTGTCCCAAAAAACAAACAAGCAAACAAAAGCAGACATTAATAGGTTTTTGGATTGCTCAACCCAACTGATGAATTATATGAACACACCAGAATAGGGTGGAACTTCTTTGCTAATTTGACATGAAATACTGGCATGGATAAAGTTAAAAGAGAGTCAAGCATGGCAGTGTATACTTGAAATCCCAGCACTCTTGGAGGCTGAGGCAAGAAGATTGTAAGTATCCAGCCCACCTTGGTAACTTAGTGATTCAGCAAGACCCTCACTCAAAATTTTAAAAACTAAAAAATAAAGGACTAGAGGACCAGGGATTTAGCTCAGTGGCACTGCACTTGCCTCGTAGGCACAAAGTCCCAAGTTCAATCCCCAGTACCAATATAAATAAATAAATAAACAAATAAATGGCTGGGAATGTAGTTCAGAGCAACAGTCCTGGTTCAATCCAAAGGAGAAGGGGGGTAAGGAAGGAGAAAGAAAGGCTAAATGCCCCACAGGGTCTGATTTTAAGGGAATAAGTGTTGTCACTTCAAAAGGTATTTAAATTAATCACTAAACAGAAACAAAAATAAAACATGAAAAGC